AAAATAATCCATGAATAAATTCATCATGACAGAATAATTACAGAATTCTATATTCTTCCAGGCTTCTACGGTTATTGAGTTTCTGCGTTGCGGGGCAGAAGGCTCAAAAGATGATGTTTCAGTTTCCTGCTTGGATCCTCCAATCAATAGGAAGTGGGCTTTTAGGTAAACAAATATTCCTGAACTAGGTTGGTATTTCGAATAAGGCACCAGACTAGTAACTGGGTGGCCATGAGTTCTAATCCCACTTTAGGCATGAAGCCAGCTGAGTGACTTTGGACCAGTGACTTTCTGTCTCTCAGCTCTAAGAAGCAAGCAAGGAAACACTTCTGAAAAAATCTTACCAAGAAAACTTCAGGGACTAGTCCGAACAAAGAGCAGCACATAGGCCTTTAACATCATATGCCTTCCCAGAAAGTATAAGCTACAGCTACTGTCAGCCTTAGCCAGCATGGGGAATATTCAGGGATTATGGGGACTGTGGTACAATATTTTAGGAAATTACTATTTAATACCATCCATGCATCCATGCATCCCATCCCATCGCATCCCTTATTATGGTCAATAACCACATGTAGTGGAGACCGTGGTGGCTCATGTGGTAAGACGCTGGGCCTGCACACCGCTGAGGTGAGTGGCTTGATTCCCGTGAGCAAATAAACCACTTAGGGACAAAAAAGGAGCCTCCCCTGATTGCCTATCGGCATTCAGGCATCCTGCAGGTAAAGATAACACCACCTGAAAAAATTCCTTTCACAGAGGCAGCCAGCCACCTTGGTGATCCCTGGCTATAACACGTGTCATACGCTAAATAAATAATAAACCACATGTAGATATAATTCAGCAACACTGTTACAGGGAGGAAAGGAGAGAGGGATATCAATTTAGACAAAGGAGAGAAGAAACAAGAGAAACAAATTAAAAAAATCCATCAGACTTGGAGTAGAAAACCATATTTAAGGTATGTAATATATAAGGCAGCAGGAACTGCAGGACTTAACTATTAAGTAAGTATAAAGCTATATCACCGTATGACAGTTTACTAGATTATTGAAATAGTAATATATTAAAACATTCAGATAATTAAAAATAGGCAATTAAATAGCAAACCCTTTTGTATGGACATGCATTAAACATGCATCAGAGTCCCTAGAAAATTCATCAGAGTGCTGAGGAATGATTAGGCAGGAATGAAACTGTTTCATACCTAATTATTCAGGAACTTCCTGTAGCCTGAACTGCATTAATTACCATATTTTTCAGTCTATAAGACACACTCCCCGCCCCCAAAGTGGGTGGAAATGTCTGTGTGCCTTATAGAGCGAATGTTGCCAAAGCCCTGCCCACCCGCTGGCCCTCACCGTTTGGCCTCTGCCTCCCAGCAATTTGCCTCCTTGCAGCAAACAGCCTGGTCAGCTTCAGCACAGCCTGATTCAGCTGATTGGTAGTTGGATCGGTCTCTGACCAGGCTGTTTACTGTTTGCTGCAAGGAGAGCAAATTGCTGGGAGGCAGAGGCAGATTTTTTTTTCTTGTTTTCCTCTCCAAAAGCTAGGTGCGTCTTATGGTCTGGAGCTTCTTATAGTGTGAGAAATACAGTATTTCAGTAATTATTCCATAGGGTAATGTACTGGTCAGTAGCCTGTAGGAAAAAAAAACAGTCTGTAAAGATGAACATTTTTGTCTGATAGTCTTTTCCACCAGCCATTTTCTGCATTTCTAGTAGAACTACCAGAGATTGCTGCCATCTACAGGTCATTTACATTTTTGCAGATTTGGGTGGTTTTAGCATCTTACTGTATAATAATGGTGCCATTTCAAATAGTAAAATGTGCATGTCAGAGATTTAGGTCTCTGGATAACATGTAGAATGGTGTATTAACTGTACATGAAGCTACAGTAGACTGTAGTGGGCACAGCTGAGGTTCACTGTGCATTTTCTTTGGGCCCACATTTGCATGTGTCAAGGCAGCTGGGATCTGGATTGATTTTATAATGCAAGGCTTCAAACCCTTGCCACATCAGCAGATCAGTAAAATGACTTGGAAGCCCAAGTCACTTCTGGATAACTCTGGAAAATGGTTCTATAACAGTCATTTCTGAACAACTAGAAGTGCTTTCCTATGATTTAACTATGCTGGAAAATGTGGTGGGCATTGGACTGCTATGAAGAGGGCATACAGGTAAAGCAGTAATGTCAAACTCGCAAAATGTCATCATGTGATGTATCGCAACTTTCCCCAACTTCGCTAAAATGGGGCTGGGCATGGCCAGCGTGTGTTGCATCTGTGCTGTGAGTGTGATATCCCTGAGGTAAAGTATGGGGTCATTGCATTGAGCCACAGAATTACTTTAGGTTTGTTGATCCAGAAAGGGAAATGTCACAGGGAAAGCATCAAATCCACAGGTACACCACACAACATGTGCGCCAGAAATGGGTTTCAGCAGGTTCTGACCAGTTCTGGAGAACCGGTTGTAAAAATTCTGACTGGCCCTGCCCCCATCTATTCTCTGTCTCCTGTGTCCCAGCTGATCGGGAGGAAATGGGGATTTTGCATTAACCTTCCCTTGGAGTGGGGTGGGAATGGAGATTTTACAGTATCCTTCCCCTGCCACGCCCACCAGGGGTGGGTTCTAAATTTTTTTACTACCGGTTCTGTGGGTGTGGCTTATTTTATGGGTGTGGCTTGATGGTCATGTGACAATTATTTAGGATTTAGCAGAGGTACTGGTCTACCAGGCTTTTAATTGCTTGCAGAGCTGTACCGATCTATCCATTTATTTTTGGAGGCACTGATCTACTCATGTATTTTTGCAGACACCGGTCTACTCATTTGTTTTCTTTTAACACTGATCAGCTGTAGGGCGGCCCTTTGAAGCCCAGCAGCAAGAGTTTAAACAGTTTTTTTCCCTCTAGCCATCAGCTGGGACTCAGGAGGCAGCAATAGATTGGGGGTGGGGCCAAATAAAAGGTAAGAATAACACGGGGGTGGGCGGGGCGGGGGGGCAGAACTGGTTTGGTGACATCATATCTTCACCGCTACCGGCTCAGTGGAACCGGGCCGAACCGGGAGGAACCCACCACTGACGCCCACTAAGCCACACCCACCGAGCCATGCCACACCCACCAAGCTACACCCACAGAACAGGTAGTAAAAGATTTTGAAACCCACCACTGATGTACACCGATCTTCAGCTAAATGGGAGGGAAGTATAAAGAGGGGGCCAAGTTTAGAGTCTTTGCACTGTAGAAAGCAGCACAGGCCTGACTTCTCCCAGTCTTCCCGAAGCCTTATCTGACTGGGAATGCAGTCAGTCTGGGAGATTGTCGTAACGTAAGTGACTAACAATAAAGCTTCTGCTTGAGATTATTCAGGAGAAGTTCCAGTTGCTTGCACCAGACAACTTGGCTCCTTGTGACTCTTGTCTGTTTTGATTTACAACATACAAGTCCTGCAAGAGCTATATTGTAATAAATGGTAAGGTAAAAGGTACAGAGAGGGATGTGGTGGCTCAGGGGCTAAGATGCTGAGCTTGTCGATCAAAAGGTCGGCAGTTCAGCGGTTCGAATCCCTAGTGCAGCGTAATGGGGTGAGCTCCTGTTACTTTTCCCACCTTCTGCCAACCTAGCAGTTTGAAAGCACATAAAAAATGCAAGTAGAAAAATAGGGACCATCTTTGGTGGGAAGGTAACAACGTTCCATGTGCCTTTGGCATTTAGTCATGCCAGCCACATGACCACGGAGACGTGTTTGGACAGCGCTGGCTCTTCAGCTTTGAATAGGAGATGACCACCGGCCCCTAGAGTCAGGAACGACTAGCACATATGTGCGAGGGGAACCTTTACCTTTTAAAAGATAAAGAAGAACCAAGTTAGAGCAGATTATCATCCTGAAAGTACTCTGAGAAACCCACAAATGACAAACAGCCAATATCAATCCTGGAGATTGAAGAAATAAACAGGTAAACAGGTTGTTCTTGATTGTCTCTGAATTTGTCAAGTCCCGCTTTAAATGTAGCGATTTCACAGTTTAAACCTGCATTGGATGAAGATGCACTTTTTATTTGTCTGCCAAAACTCTGAGACTGTATAATGAAACAAACAAGATGACAACAAAGCAATACATACCAAGATGAACTGACCACAAAAGTCAATTAAAGCAAAGGTATAAGTGCAGTGTTTCTCAAGCTTAGCTTTGCTGTCTGGGTAATTCTGGGAGTTGAAGTCCACAGATCTTTAAAGTTGCCAAGGTTGAGAAACACCGATATGATGGGACAGAAAAATTTTAATCACTTGCACTTTTTTTTACAAAGATTGTAGGTCAGAGGTCTTCAAACTTGGCAGCTTTAAGACTTGTGGACTTCAAGCTATGCTGGCTGGAGAATTCTGGGAGTTGAAGTTCACAAGTCTTAAAGCTGCCAGTTTGAAGACCTCTGTAATGTAGGTGATAAGTGGATTCAACAGTTTTATAGAATTGATGCTTTGGTTTTGTAAGTGATACTAAACCATCTTTCTGGACTAGGTCCACCAAAATGCTTTGACATGCGTGCTGGTTCTTTGAACTTGCTCACTTTCATACGCTAACAACAGACACATTACTGCAATGCGTCATCTTTTTGTTGCTACTGTTTAACTATGACTATGTACAGTGACTTTTCAGCAACGGGGATGAATCTCCACAAATTGCATGTAGTTGTCCCATGAAAAAAAATGTTCCATAAATAAATTTTCATGTGAAAATCAGCCCCAGACAAAACAGTCGTCATCTTTATTACAAAGATTAAATTGATATTCGACCCAACCTGCTCGTTTCTGCTGCCTCATCATCGGTGATAAATCTAAATGCTTTTAAAACACCTGGAATCCTATCCCTAAAAATTCTATGAATTTCAGGAGGTAGAATTATCATACATCTGCAAATGTCAGGTTTAGGGAAATGTCATCCTCATCTTCAACCTTGTTGAATTTTAAAAAGGCCAGCAGTAATCATTTTTCACACTATGACAGTTTATTTAGCAAACATGTAAACATTTATTAACAGCAGATTGTGTACAGATCCATTCAAAATTAAATCCCATAGACTCTAAAGGATCATATTCCAAAATGATGTTTATACTCTAGGTAAAAACTGGGCCACATTGGAGTACATTGATATATGTGCTCTGTTAAATTGTTTAAACAAGCTTTCTCAAATCTTTTGTGATAATTCCTTAGGAGAAAGGCAGGAAGAGAGAGGGAGAGAGGAGGGAGGAGGGAGGGAGAGAGACAGAGAGAGAGAGAGGGAGAGGGGGGGGGAGAGAGAGAAGCAGCTAATGTTGCCATACATTCATTATATGAAACTGGGAAGAGAAACTGTTGATCAATTCAGCAACCACTGGATGTCATTGTTGCTTTGTTAAACTTCATCTAGGGATAGAATTGGTTGAGAGAGGAAAAAATATAAATCTTCGTTCTTTTGCAAGAAAAAGAAATCAGAAATACATATCCCTTTTCCCTTTTCAAAACTTATATTTTGAAAAATGTATTTTAAGATGAAATTAAGATTTTTAATTAAATGTAAGCATTATTTACCTAAGTGGTTTCAGATGATCTAGTTAGGGAGCTGAGTATTATTTCTTTTGCGATAAAGATTGAAGGGTGGAGCTGTGCTTTAACTTCCAGCCATTGTGACAACCTCCGTCAACAGAAGACCTTGCAAAGTAGCACCAATTCCTCTGTGATCTATATACCACCAGGTCAGGAGCTGCATCAAGGGAACCTGCAGCAAAGGTCATAAGAAATGGATAAGGTTGCACATGAACATGTACCACTAATGATCAGAATGGCAGAACCATCACAGAGTGGCAACGAGTGCCAGCAAATTACAAGCTACCGCTACCGTAGATCATTAAATTGCAGCTTAGACTAAAACAGCATGCTAACCTTAACTATTTTATCTCTCTGCTATGGAATGGAAACCGTAAAACAAAAGCAGAAGGAAAGGATAGCTGTGGAAGGTTTATTACAAGGAAGCCCCCTTTGTATAGAGCATGTTGGTACAATGCTCTAGTTTCCATGGTTACACCAGCCACTAGGTAACCCTATGAAATTTCAAGGCACTTCATACCCAGTGATAAAAAAATGAAGTAATCTTGGCTTGCTTGAAAAGCTGGTGTTTTCCAATCTGTAATTTACAAAGATCCTTCCTACGCTATGTGCTTTTACCAAATATTTGAATTGACCAAACAAGTCCAAAATACCATGAGGTTTTTGTATGTTTCTTACTTGTGAGTACGTTATACAAGAGCTTTCCTGTCTTAAGTTTAAGGTCTTAAATTCAATCAGCTAAATTCATGTCGGTTCTTTTTGGGGCTCATGATTTGGCAGCATTTGAGGCTAGCTACAGAATTGGGCTAGCACACCATACTCTGTGGAGATACATGCCGAGTAGTAAGTTAAGACCAGGACCTTAGCTGCATATTTTAGCAGAGCAGTTAGCACCCTTTCACACAAATGAGGATATAGCATAGGCACAATTGATGGAGCTTGAGAAGTTTATATTTTGTAACCAACATATCTGGATTGGCTTAGTTAAGGGGTGTCAAACTTGATCGCTGGCAGAGGGTTGCAAGAGACCGTCACAGCTGAAAACGGAGCTTGGGAGGCCAGCGCGCGGCCCTCCCGAGCTCCATTTTCACTGACAGAGGCACCGTGGGCTGGTCCTTCATTGTTTCCAAGGCAACCCCGCAGGCCAGATCTGGCCTGCAGGCCTTGAGTTTGACATCCCTGAACAGTGGTGTACTTTCAAACTGCATCCTGTGGAACAGACAATAGGCCATTAGCTGTTATTCATTAGATTTTCTAGTCAAAAGCTGACCTCAAAGCTAACAAGACAGTGTTAAGTATATGTAGTCATCCTTCCCCACTAGGTTGACCACACCTGTTGCTTTTCCAAAAAAAGCATAGTTTTGTCAGTAGGCCTAGAGAACCAGGAATGTAGACACAGCTGATCAAATAGCTTATTTCAGTGGTGTTTTTTAAAAATAGGTTTTGTTAGCAGTGGGTTTTTTTTAAATGTAACCCACCTTTGTGATTCTATTTAAGTTTGTTTAATCAATCAACCAATCAATCAATCAATCAAATTCAGCCTGAGGAGGAGGAGCTCCTTTGAGCTTGAGCATGATATAACTAGAATCTTGGTATTTGGTGAAAGGGAGGCTGAAACCTTCAACATATACTGGCATTGCAGTAGGAGGGACCCCACTCAAACCTTAAATAGGTAGCCTAGCATTGCTTCTAACAGAAATAGTATTGAGGGTCTTTTGGTGGTCTCTGAGCTTGGTGGTTTTCTTGTAGACATTTCATTACTCAATACACTGATGATGTTAGTTTGGGTAATGAAACATCTGCAAGAAAACCACCAAGTTCAGAGATCACCAAAGGACCCCTCATTTCAACCTGAGCTACAAATATTTTCCTTTATTGGTAGAAACAGCATTTCAACAGGGTTATCCAGTTACCCAAAAGTTAACTCCTCTTTGCTAGTTCATTCTGGACCTTTGCTTTGGGAGCAGAATGTTAGAGCAGATAGACTTCTTGTATGGTTTAGTTCAGCTCTTATAATTTAGAAAGTGTCAATTCCTTTTTTAAAAATAAAAAAATGTATTGACTGCATTAATTCATATGCTGTAGCTACCAATTAGTTGTCCTTATAAAAGGAAACAAGAAGAAACGGAAAGAAAATGAGTAGAAAGGCGAATATATTTCCAGCATCAAAATATTACCTTAATGACACACAAACACAAGCAAATGATCATTTCCTATAATTGAAAATGAAAAGCTCTGATGAAGCCCTGTTTGAAGTAATTGCACAAATGTATGCTATGAATAAATGCTTTAGTTTTGTGTTTCTCAGTGTAATGGTGTGGGTGTTTTTGTGAACTTGCTTTTTATTGTTTGCCGTATAAAATCAGTTGCTTCTAAATCGTATCTAGTGAATGAGATTAATAGGAAACATCTAGATTTAGGGCAAAAAAATGTTCATATTTCAGAATAATCAGATAGAAATGTAGGACATGGGAGTTGTACTTACCTTGTCCTTGTCTTCCAGGAAATGTCAGTCACAGTAAAAGAAACATAATTCATATTGTTTATAAGATGTACAAGAAGACAATGGATAATGAAAACATATAAATCTTTACTTTCAAAATAGCATGGAGTCTAGTCTTTCTAAATGTCACTGCTATTAGTAAACCATAAAATTGTTGCAACATTGAAGAAAAATTCCAGTAACTAGCAAAAAATATAAACTAGATGTGTCTCTATATACTGTAGATGTAATAAGGTCCATGTTTTTAAAAAGCCATGATTATTAGAAAATTGCAGCTATTTGGATTCTCTATGCATTGAAATCTTCACAGAGGATCCTGGTAATTATCAAATCTGTTTATGATCTGAATGGTTACAAAGCCACATACTCTTTGAGAAAGACCAATTGGGGTGTGTGTGCTGCAGACGTCTCTAATTTTCTAATTGGTTGCACAAATTGTGGGTGCTCCAAACACTGGAGATTTTAAAGAAGAGATTCGACAGTCATTTGTCTGGAATGGTATAGGGCAGGAGTGTCAAACTCAAGGCCCGTGGGCCGAATCTGGCCCATGGGATGCTTAGTTCTGGTCCATGGAGCCTTCCTGGAATCGGCAAAGGACCCGCCTCCTGGGGCTCTGTTTTCACTGGCACAGAGCTACAGGAGGTTGTCGCAGCTGAAAATGGAACAAATGATGTCGAGCTGGTCATGCCCATCCTGGCCATTCCCACCCGGTCCCCCAAGGTCAAAGCCAACCCTGATGTGGCCCTCAATGAACTTGAGTTTGCAAAATCTCCATTCCCACCCTACTTTGGGGCCAACCAGAGTTGGTATTTGCTGGTTCTCCGAACTATTCAAAATTTCTGCTACCGGTTCCCCAGAACCTTTTAGAACTTGCTGGATCTCACCCCTGATCCTCTGTTTGAAATTCTTGGAAGCATCACTGAATAATGATGTAGTGCATTTTCCCATGGAACTTTGAAAATACTTATAGTGGTTACCAGGAAATCAACAGCTTTTCTGCCAGTAAAGCATCTGCTGTTGCCCCCTTTCACTCTTCACAGAAAAGATTGTGCCCCACCGTGAGCCACTTGCTTGTGAAATGGGCAGCTACATAAATCAAATCACAGAGATAGCTAGCTAGCTAGCTAGATGATAGATAGACGGACGGACGGACGGACAATAGATAGATAGATAGATAGATAGATAGATAGATAGATAGATAGATACTATAGATAAATGGATGATAGATGATAAGTGGATAGACAGGCAAACAGACAAGCAGACCCAAATAACTGGTGGGTTTTTTTTTGTACTACTTGAATTGGTACATGAGGAGGGTAGATGTGTGTCCAATCAGCAGTTATTCAAACACATGCAACAAATGCGGTGATATTTAGTTTGGTCCTTAGTTTCACTGAAGGGAAAGAAATGCAAATTGAGACCCTGTATTTCCTAGCAGGATATACTGCAGCTTGTGAAAAAGCTTTCAGACAATCAAGGATGGCTTTATTTCCTGGTACACTACTCAGTGTGATTTAAGAATGCATCTATAGCTACTTCAAAAAGCCAGATGGCAATGACTTCAGTGCTATTCATTAGTGAGCAGCCTCGATTATGGATTGTTGCCTAATGCAAAGTAGAACCAAATAAATACAAACATGCTATTAAAGTAATATTTTCCCAAGAAGTTTTTATTGCATATAATGTTGAGTGCATATGATATAAACAGGGATGGGTGTAAAGCAGATGTAATTTCTACCCCTCATTATAAATGAAAGTTTTTTTTTAAATAGTGTTCTGTAATTCAACCTCTCTACTTTCCTGCAACCCCCTCCCACAATACCTACCCAAAATGGAATGCCAAATACATTCAGGAAATACTTCAGAATTATTGCCAAACTCAGCATTCCTATTTATTTACAAACTCACAGCCACTTATTAATGATTTCCTTTCGCTCGCAAGTTCATAAAAACGCCTTTTTAAAAAACTGTAAAAACTAATTATGCTGCAACTCCATTGTTGACTTGATAAACAACCTAGAATGCATTGCATTTCAGGGGGATTATCCCAAATCCATTGCCACGATTCAGAACGTTGTATATTATAATTCTCATAAGCTTTATGTACAACTGGGATTCTCCATTCACTTCATAAAAGTGATACTTCCATCTAATGAAGTGGGTGTGTAGAACTCAAGCAAGACTAGGGATATGATTGCAAATGGCTTTCCAGATAATGAGAATATTCTGCGTTTATGGCTGAAAAATGACATTTAATGCAGAAACGTGATTTCAGTGTACAACAATGTTGTAAAAATTCATCATTTATTTTAAGTCTTTCTAATACAGTCAATAGGATAACGGGGAAAATTATTTTTAATTTGTTAGAGGATTTCCACTAGACATGAACAAACAGGCATGTTTGGCTTGGGAGCCAATACAAACATGTCAAAGTCATCGGATACAGACAAGAGAGGATGTATCATCTTAAATTGTGATGGCAGGTTCACATATTTGAATATTTACCATACCGCAAACATTTTGCAATAGGACATTGGCAAATCAGGAAATAGCTGAGTTTTTTCACTGACATGTTATGCTTACACAGGAATTTGACAGTAACTTTGAAGATTAGAAAGAAGCACTAGCAGTGAATGTATCCCAAGGGCCAAATTGTGGATTTTATACAA